CACGTCTGATAAAACTCCCTTGTGAAGGAAATCTGCAGAAGAAAAGGAGAAAAAAAAGGAAAAAAAAACTCAACAAAAACAACAAACACAAAAAGTCCCCAAAAACCCAGATCTTCCAACGGGACCTCTGTGCAGAGAGAGAAGGATAAAGGTTTGCAGCCACCCACCTGCACCAGCTCCAGCCACCACCGAGAGCAGAAGGCAGCATGTTTGCACACTTAAGTGTCACCAGATAGGAAAAAATTAGTTTGTCACCCTCTGCTTCGTGCTTTCCATGCTTTATATTCAGGCAGAGCACAGCAAGACTCCCGCTGCTCCCAGGCACAGCCCAGTGCATCAGCTGTTGCCATATCACAATGCACCTGTGGTTTTCCCTGTCTCCCTGGTGTTAGCTGAAGATAACGAGATCTTAATTATCACCAGGAAAGTGCTGAGCCTCTTCCCAGTGTGGCTCTGCAGTTGGCCATAGTGGGAAGCAGGGCTCTGTCCTTCCATCTGCCTTTGGGCAGAGTGGGAACCCTGGGCTGGGGCTCAGATGTTTGGGGAAGGAGAGAGATTTTTGCTATAAACCACCCTTGGAATGGTGTATCCCCAATGGGGACATGGAGGAACCTCTCATGAGCCCCAAAGCAGGTGTCCACTGCCCCCACCAAGGCACCAAACCTGCTCGGGTGTTCCACACCCTATGAGAGGGAAATTGCCCTCTCTGGTGCCCACTGTGCAGCTCCAGCCCTCCCCAGTGCCAAGGCTGATGTCCAGCCCTGCCTGCCTGGGCAGTGGCAACAGCTCCTGGGGGCAGTTTTCAGAATCAGAACCCCCCACCCCACTGAGGTGCTGTGTCTGTGTCACACAGGGACCAACAGTGACAGGCAGAGAGGCCGTGATGTGCCAGGCACCGCTGGTCCTCCCAAACTGCTGGATCTCTTGACGGTGTGGAGCCAGCTCCCAAATTGCCCAGCTGCTTCTTCCCTGACCTCCAAGTCACCTTGAGCCATGCTGGCTGCGGGCGCTCGCTCTGCCATGGGATGCTCTGAATGCTAAGGAGGCAGGAAAGAAGTTTCACCTCAGTGGTGGGGCTGGATCAGGGTCAGCACTGCCAGGGGGCACCAGACAGCTGTGCACGCCCCAAAATCGGGCTGTGCTGCACAGGGGTGTTCTGGGGGACAGAGCCAGGTACACAGCCCGTCCAGCTTCATCACATTCCTGCTCCTGCTGTCCTCCTCTGCCTGCCTGAGGCTCCCATTTGCTGTCCCTCTCATCCACGTTAATAATTTCTTCTGAGCAGTGACATGTGCCCATCCCTGGCAGCCCCGTCTGGCTCCCTCACCCTGCTCCATGTCCCAGACTCCCCCGCCCTTTCCCTTTCTTTCCAAGCCCTCCGTCTCTCCCCTCCAGCACTCCTGCAGTTTCATTGTGAATTTTGGCAGTGCTCTCTCTGACCTTGGCTGTCTCCCTCCTCTCTTTGCTCCTGTGCTGGCAGCATAAATCTTGGCTGTCTCTGTCTCCTCCCCTTCCCTCAGTGCCAGCACATTGGGGACGGAGTGGCCTTTGCCAGCCCTCAGCCTCACGCTCAGCCCCTCAGGATCAGGCTGGGGAAGGTTTTAGGGCTGTCCTGGGGCCCTTCAAAGGCCTGGGGTCACCTCCCAGCTCCCATTCAGCAGTGGCAGTGGGATCCTGGGGCAGCACAGTGCCAGCAGCAATGCTGGCAGGATGTGTCCCTCCACCTCATCCATCACAGGTGGCCTCCCTGTTGCTGTGGGATTGGGGTGCAGGAGCAACCCCCCAGGCAGCATGGAGCCCTGACCCCATGGCAGGCTCAGCCCTGTCACTGTATGAAGGCTCTGCTTCTGCCACCCAGATTCCCATTCTGGCAGGGCTCCCAGCCTTTGCATCCCTGGGTGCATCCTCAGCCACAGGGCTTGGGTGCTCCAGAATGGAAGGCTTGACCAGGGCTCTGTTCAGGAACAAACTGGCGGTGGTTCTGTCTTCCCATGGAATTTGGCAATGGTGAGACAGCAGATCTCCTCCTGCCCGTCTGTTCACAGCAATGTGCCCGCCTGCTCCAGATCCATCTTTTCCTGCTGATTCGGGACAATCTGTGTCCCATGACCTACTTGTCTCCAAGCATCTCCTGCCTTCCCGTGGAGTGGGTTGATACTAAAGCCTCTCTAAATGTGGTTAACGTGTCAGGATGCACTTACATTTATTTTTAATTCTGCTTTTTTCTCGGCCCACTTTTGGCTGAGTCCCCAGGGACATTGTGCTGGGAAGCTTCTGTGTTTCATAGAGTCACGGAATGGTTTGGGTTGGAAGAGACCTTACAGATCATCTCATTCCAAGCCCCTTGCCATCGGCAGGGACACCTTCCTCTAGACCAGGCTGCTCCAAACACCCTCCAGCCTGACCTTCAACACTTCAGGGATGGGGCATCCACACTCAGGAGGCAGGAGCAGAGAGCAGGTGGGTCACAGCACACAAAACTTCCACTGCAAACTTAAAAAAATTATAAAATCACATGTATCCATGCCCCTGAGATGGGAAACACTGATGCTATCAACCACCCTTGAAGTGATGTTTTCCTAGCCCAGCCCACAGCCCTGTGCCCTGCTGCAGCTCAGGGAGTAGAGGTGCCATGTATTGGTCTGGTGGATGCTGGTCGGCATCATGGATAAGCACTGTGCCTGGATGGGTGCTGAGCTTGGATGGGCGCTGAGCCTGTCCAGCCCTCAGAAAACAGAGATGCACCTCTTTATTTGTGTGGCACTTCCTAAACTCTCTGACCCTTTTTGATCCCTTTTAGCTGCATCTGACAGAGACTCCAGAGAAAATCCCTGGCCCTGTCGTAACACAGGTGGCAGGAGACTCCCATCTGACATCCCCACACAGGGCAATGCTCTCCAACTGTGACTGGCAGGGAGCCCAGTGTGGCTGCAGAAGAACACACTGAGGGGGGACAGGGTTCAGGACATGGGCAGGACAGGGTGCGGGGCATGGGGGGCCCAGGGCACTGGCCATGCACCCCTGTGTCCCCGGCACTGTGCCAGCAGCACTGGGTGAGCTTGTGGGAGATGCTGGAGGCATGTGAAGGTGTTGAAGGGAATGGCAATGTGATGGACAAACCTTCCCGGCAGCTGTCAGCAGCCCACCCGCTATCGCTCGGGATTTACATCCACATCCCCAGGCACCGCTCCAAATGTGGAAATAGAGCACGTCTTATTAACAAACGAGGGAAAGCGTGCGGCTGCCAGCAGGTCACTGCTGGGGCACAGACCTGGGTCCGGTGCCAGGTCAGGGAGAAGCAGGGTGTGGGCACTGACGTGAGTTCTCTGTGAAAAATTGAATAAATTGTGTGTGTGGATGTGGGGGTGTGTGTGAAGGGGGGACTCTGTGCCATGGGACTGCAGTGGGACCGTGGTGGGACCGCGGGGGCCAGGTTGTCTCAGTTTGGAGCATTTCATGCCTGACATAAACCCGGGTCAAACCCCCAATTCCTTCTGGGGATTTGGGGACAGGCTGTAACCTTGTGGGGACTCAGGGTGAGCAGCGGCCGGGTGGGAGCTCTCCCTGCTGCCTTTAGGACTGGGGGCGCTCAGGTTGCAGCCCCAGTGTCCCCAGCCCAGCTGTGCCCCGTGGTTGTGGGGAGCACGTCCCCCAGGCACACCCCATGCAAACCCCGCCGTTCTGCCCCGTCCTCTCCTCCAATGCCCCTCCCCACGCAGCCCCCCGCGGTGCCCACGGAGGGTTCTGGCGCTGTCGGGGAGTGCACGGAGGGGTCCCTTTGCACGGGGTACGTGCACAGGAGGTGCCGGTGTGCAGCCGGGTGTGTGCATGTGTGTGCCCCCCGTACGTGTGTGTGTGTGCGTGTGCGTGCGGCTGCCGTGCGCGACCGCAGCTCGGGGCACCCACCGCCCGCCCCGCGGCGGCACCGGCACCTGCCCGGGGAGCCGGGGAGGCGACGGGGGTAGGCATCCCGGCTCGGGGGGCCGGGAGGAGAAGGGAGGCAGCTCGGTGCGGGCACCGGCGGGGCGGGCAGACCGAGCGGAGAAGCGGGAGCGGAGCCCAGTGCACGGAGCGGGGCCACAGCCCAGTGCGGGAGCGGGGAACCGGCGGGCAGAGCCCGGCGGGAGAACCGAGTGCGGAGGGGGGCAGCTCGGTGGGGTCACAGGGACACGTGTCCCCGCGGGGGGTGTCAGCCCGGTTCGAGGAGGTGGGTCGAGCGGTGGGAGCACGGTTTGGGAAGGGGGAAGAGCCGGGTTCGGGGAGGCGGGTGTCGGGTTCAGGGAAGGGGAGCAGCCCGGTGCGGGGACCCGGGGAAGGGGAGAATTCCGGTCTGGGGGCTCGGCTCCGGTGAAGGGGGACAGTCCGGGCGGGGACCCAGCTCCAAGGGGTAGCCCGGTTCGGGTAAGCGGGATCCCAGGAGGAGAAGCCCAGTTCGGGGACCTGCGGGGTGGGGTTGGCAACCCGGTTCAGGGCAGCGGCTCTGGGGACAGAGAGCATCCCGCTCCCAGGGGTCATCTCGGGTTTGGGCGAGCATCCCGTCTCCTGTCCGGGGGAATATCCCGTCCCGGTCCGGCCGCTCACCTCTGGCCGCGCAGGCCGGCGGCGGTTCCATGGCGTCCCCGCGGGTGGCAGAGCTGCGGAGCCCGGGCGAGGCGGCGGCGGGTGCGGCGGGTGCGGGGGCTGGTGCGGGCGCGGGGGGGCCGGTGCCGGCGGGCCCGGGGTTGGCGCTGGCGCTGGGCTGCGCCCTGGGCGGCGCGGCGCTGGTGGTGCTGGCGGGGGCCGTTCCGCGGGCGGCGCGGCCCGACCCCGCCGTGCCGGCGCGGCAGATGGAGCGGCTGGAGGCGCGGGCAGCCCGGCTCCGTGCCCGCCTCGACCGCTGCACCGTGGCCGGGCTGGCGCTGCTGGCCCTCGGCGGGCTCCTTCTCGCCGCCCTGCTGCTGGCCGCCGCCGCCGCCCGCCGCCGCGCCCGGGCCGCCCGCCGCACCGGGGGCACCTACGGCTCGGTGCGGCTGCGGCTGCGGAGGGTGTCCGCTGACGGGACGCGGGCGCTGCTGGAGAGCCAGCTGAGCCCCCCGCCCCAGCCCCCTGAGGGGCCCGGCTCCTAGCCGTGCACGCCCCGGGGACACCCTGCTGCCGGCAGAAGCGGGAGTCCCCTTGCCTCACCCGAACACCGATACCACCTGGTGAGACTTGGCCCGTGCCAGCCTTCAGCCACCATCCTCGCCTCCTTGAACCCTTTTCGGATGGGGCTCCCATCTGGCAGCACCGGAGTGATGCGGCTTTGGCATACTCCACTGGCCCAGGCTGTTCCCCACCACCAGCACCGGGACAATGTGGCCTTCAGACCCCTCATCGCCTCCTCAGCACCTTCCTGGACAGGGTCCTGCCACCAGAATCACGGCAGCAGCACCGTCAAGGCACCCATGGGATTTCCACACCATGGCTGGTTGCAGTCTGGGCTGGACGTGAGGCTGGATGTGACGCCAGGACCTGGCTGCTCCTCTTCCCAATGGATCTCCTCTGTTTCTGCCATCAGTGACCTTTCCTAGCAATAGTTTCCTGTAAAACTCTGTGGCACAGAGCTGGTGCTTGCACTGCTCCAGGCAGAAGAGGAGGAGGCAGCAAGCACGCCCACCGCCCGTGCAGTGGGGCCAGCCCCCCACCACCCCCTATCCCTCACACCCCACCAGCACTGTTCTGCACAGCAGGATGAAGGCCAGGACACACGCCCGCACTGTGCTGAGCATCCCACCACCACCAGCAACCCCAGAACAGCCTCCTCAAAAATCATGGTGCTCTGTACAGAGGAGAGCGGATGATTCCCAGTGCCTCGAGGCAACGTGGTGGCCCGACAGTGCTGCCGCCAGGGTGTCCCCGCGCCGACCTTTGTGCTGATCCAAGGGCCGTTGCCTGTGGCAGGAAGGCAAAATCACATCTCGGGAAATAAACATGAAGCGTCATTAAAGCACAATGTTCTGTGGAAAGAGAAATGGGTATGAGCAGGGTGCTGGGAAAGGGAAATAATTATCCCATTGGAAAATGCAGACCCACAAAAGGTGCTGTTTGTCATGAACTGCCACTGGTTTTCAATCCATTCTGTAAATTACCCACTTCAAACGTTCCCAGGCAGGGACAAATCCCTCCAGACAGCCCGACATAGAGGAAAGTCACTTTTAGACCCAGTACAGTTGCCTGGGTCGGGCTTTATTCCAGGGCTTCCAGTGTCCCCTTGGATGCTGGGAGCATCCTCTGCCCTGTGTTTCCATTTCCAAGGCTTTGCAGCTAATCCTTGTGAAGGGCCATGTGTCCCTCTCCATCACTACATCACCCAGCCACGCTCTATATTTATTGTAGGATCCCAGGAAACAAGCTTGAATGGCCTCACATCCACAGTTCTGACACACAGGTACCTCTCCCTGGGATGAAACCACGCTTCAGATGAGATGTGTGGCTGTGCTCTGCTGTCTCCAAATGGTCCTGGTGCGGACGTGGGGGTGACACCGTGGGAGGGAGGGGACAAAGGGAAAGAAGGGGAGGAAGGGGAGAAAGGGGGAGCTCTGGGTCTTCCCAAGGCACTGCCCTGGGGAAGGCAGATGTCCCTCCCACAACTCAGCACTGGCCCTGTATGTCTGGATTAGAAAATAAACCCGTTAGATGGAGAAATCATCCTCATCCCTTTTTGTCGCTTTAAATAAGCTGGAAGAAGCGTTTCCAGGATGAAAGGCTGAGCCTGGTGGAGGTTACAGCTGCTGAGCAGCTGCTGTACGTGAGCACGAGAAATACTCCCGTGGATTAGGGCATGAGGCTGCTCAGGAGTCTGCGGGAAGGGGCTGTTGTTGCTTTGTCAGCACGTTGCTGGGCTGTGCCTTGAGTCCCTGCAGAACTGGGGGGAAATTTCTACATGGAGAAAGATATATTTGCAGTGAGCAAACTGTGTTGAGGAAGGAGTGCCATTAAAGACGATTTACCACTGAGTTCAGGGCTGGGAAATGCTTTTGTACATAGACCCCCCCCAACCCAGGCTGAGGCGGAGGGTGGCTGTGGCAGGGGGACACGGAGCTCTCTGGCCTGGCTGTCCTTTTATTGCTCTGGCAGGCGCTGGGGACAAGGCACTGGGTCTATGGCAGTCAACACACAGAGGGGTATTAGGAAGCAATCCAAAATAATCCAGAGTGGTGAGAAAATCTGGCTGGGAAAGGCTGATGCTGTGCAGCCTGGGTGGAATGAGGGTCACTGGCTCTCCAGTCACCCAGCACTGGTGTTTTTGGGGTGTCTCTTGTTGTGCCAGGGAAGAGAAAGCAGGCAGGGTCCAGTGTGCCTTTCCCAGTCCCGCATAACGGGGCCTGCTTTGTTTTCCTGCTGGGCCACACGCATGGCTTCCCTGTACCCGGGATCCCGGGGATGGAGCACCAGCTGCAGGGTAATTAGCAGCGCTGGGGGCTCTGCCATCCCATCAGGAGTGTGTGGGCAGGTGCCATGGGCTGGGCGGGCTGGCAGATGGCCTGAAGGACTCTCTGGGGATCCTGAGCTATTACCAATAATCCAGTGCCTCTCTTTAAACGTGTGGTGGAAATGCCTCCCCGGTGCTGCCGGAGGAGGGAGGCTGTGCCTGTGCCAAGACCGCACACCCAGCCCCAGCCGCTCCTTGCAGACTCCCCATAAAATTAACATGGGGCGTGTTTGCTGTGCTCCCGTGCATGTTAATGTTTCCTGCCACTCAGGGTAGTAGCAGCAGTGCCGGGGACAGGGACACATGGCTGAGGGCCTGGACTGTCCCTCCTGCTGAAGGGAGACCTGGCCCTCACAGCTGTTGTGGTACGAGCTCGCAATGGGGTGGCTGCCCCCAAACCATTCGCAGGGAATGGGGTCTGGACTGGCCATCCCTACAGATGGAACAAGGAATGTGTTTGGGAACACCGGCCCTCAGGAGCCACCTCTGCCATGCTGTCTCCTTTAGTGTGAGCCAAGCCAGCTACAGAGACAGTGTCCTGATCCCACCATCCTCTGACCCAGAGAAGAGGATCCTTGCCTCCTTTGACCTATCCTTTCCAGAGAGTGGATGGCTCAGCCCTGAGAGCCCCAAGGCTTAGGCACAGGCCTGCAGTGGGCACTTGTCCCCTTTGGCACCCACTCCCCTCCTCTGCCACCTGTTTCCCAGCTGCACAACACCACGGACCCGCCAGGGCCAGGCGCTGCAGACAAAAGCCAGTTCCTCGGCCCTGCCGCAGCCTCTCCCGGCGCTGACTCGCTTTAATTAGCCCCATCAAAGCCGGCTGCGTCTCTCCCTCCTGGAAGGTTGCAGAACATGATTAATTCAGGCACAGAAAGCAGCCTCCCCCCCGCAGAGAGGGGCCTCTCGATGAGGCCAAAGCTGTTTCCTCTCCCCCAACACCCCACGCAGCAAGGCTGGGGTCTGCAGTCTCTCAACCCCAGCAGAAGGATTTGGGGCTTTGTTCTCCTGGGACAAAGCTGTGGATGGGTTCAGGCTGTCCCAGGAGCCGGAAGGGACAAGCAGGAGCGATGGCCTCACCGATTCCTGGGTCTCTCTCCCTATCCCTCCCATGCTGCTCTGGTCACAGGCATCACACACAGTCCATCCGTGGGTCTGCAGGTGAGATTGCCCATGAAAAACCACCAGGTGTGCAGCTGGGATGACACATCCAGTGGGTCTGGGCTTAGAACCACCCCCTGCACATGTGGGGGTCCACACACAAGCCCATGGGAGATGCAGGGGATGCTTCAGCCTCCCCCAGCCCCAGATTTCTCTGGCTGGCCTTTCCTGCTCCCACCTGTGCACAGCCCGGGGTAGCACACACTGTAACACAGCTTTATTAGCTGCATCTGTAGGCAAAGAGGTTTTAAAAGGAAAAAGTCTTTGGGGAAAAGAGATAGATGGGGGGATCCCTTCCCTCTTTTTATTTCTGCCAGTGCAGCTGCATGCAGCGTTCCGACAGCACTCAATGCCCTGGAGAGGCAATTACTGCAGGAGCTGGGCTGGGCTGTTCTCCACTTCATTTTCCTAATACAGTTACATCGTCTTGGAAAAGCGCTGCTGGCTCAGGGGAAGGTACAAAGCGGGTTCCCAGCATGGATCCTCTGCCTTGGGAAGGGCTCTCGGTCTTCCCGTCAGGCAGCAGGGGCCCGCCCCAGCAAGCACCAACACAACACTGGTATCATGTTTTTATTTCGGTCTCATGAACATCCTTCCAAGAGATCAACCACGAGAAGTAAAACAGTGTGAGCCCCTAACAAGAAAGATGAGCTGCAGCCCCAAAATCAGCTGAGCTGGGGCATCTGTGGGGAAGGGAGGAGGTTTCCAGAGAGAGCTCAGGAGCCTGAGGCACGCAGATCTCGCCCATTCTCCCAAAGCCAGACAGGCAAAGCCACACACAACAAGGCTGACAGTAGCAAAATGTGTTCTATAAACCTCTTTTGCAAAGCTCCCTCTCTCCTACCCCAGCCCCATGCAGTGTTTGGTGGGCACCCCTCGTCACGCTGCCTGTGGGGCTTCACGGACACCCCAGGAATGAAAAACCACGGCTGCAGGGAAGAGAGGGGGCACGGAGGGCCAGGAATTCAATCTACGTCTCTTCTCGTGCACATCAAATGCTTTGCTGGTAGTGCTTTTCCACGCCAGCAGGCACAGCCCTGTAGAAGCTGATCCCAGTCGCTGTTGGGGGTCTACCCCTGGAGACCCCGTGGGTTGGGCTTTCCAGCCCTTCAATCAGCGCCTTGCTCAGATACAGAGCGAGAGAGAAACTCCCTCTGTGTGGGGAGCCCACTTCAGCTGTCCCCTTCAGCGAGGCTGCTGTGGCTGCCTGGCAGAGGAGCAGCAAGGAGCCAGCTCTCTCCTCGCACCCACTGCTTTGTGGGACCCCAGCAGCAAGCTCTGCCACCCTGGAGAAGCAGGGAGGAGAAATCCCACAGCACCCAGGCTGCTCCCAGAGCACCACACCCCACGATGCCACCTCTTGGGGTGCAAATGGCCCGGCACCCTCAGAGGAGCAGGGAAAAGAAATGGACCTACTGCCTCCTCTTCTGTTCTGCAAACAGGGAAGCCTTTATAGCAGATGGAACACACAGGAATGCGACCCCAAACGGAGAGAAACGCTGCTGGAAAGATCTAAATCCACTGATGTGGAGCGAAGAGGGGAAGCACACCTGCTTCCCAGGAGACTCAGCCACTCGGTGACTCCTCACATGAACATGTCATCGTAGCCTGGAGGGGGAAGGTGGTCGGGATCGGGCCTGGAAAGAAATTTAGAGCAGAGTCAAACAGGAGTGAGAGCTCAGGTCTGCAGCAACAGGGATGAGCTGGGATCCAGCAGCAGGCTGGAATATCAGCACGGCCAAGGACCTACCCGGGTCGCCCAGCTCCTAAGGGGCTAAAGGGGTCGAATCTGGCGCCTGGTGGAACAGCTCCTGGGGGAAGCCGGCCTGGGATGCCTGATGATGGGTCAATGCCGGGCTGCCGGAAGCCAGATCGGAGAGGATCCACGATCATTCCCCCACTCCGACCTCTGGGGAGAGGAAAGGCAGAGAAGAAGATGAGAATGGCACTGGTGAGACAGGAGTAAAGCACATCCCTGGTGCCAAACCTCTGCTGCAGGAATGCCAAGCATGGGAACATGGGGTTAACCCAACACATGGCAGGGGGAAGGAAAGCTCCTGGGACAAGCCAGTGATGCAGCCCATGGCAGAAAGACAGAGAGCTCTGCATAGAATCCCCAAATGGTTTGAGTAGGAAAGGACCTCAAAGCTCATCTCATTCCAACACCCTGTCATGGGCAGGGACATCTTCCACTAGACCAGGTTGCTCCAAGCCCCACCCAACCTGGCCTTGAACAATTCCAGGGATAAGGTGGCCACAGCTTCTCTGGGCAACCTGTGCCAGGGGCTCACCACCCTTACAGGAAAGAGTTTCTTCCCAATATCCCATCTAACCCTGCCCTCTGTCAGTGTAAAGCCATTCCCTTTTGTCCTGTCACTCCAGGCCCTTGTCCAAAGTCCCCCTCCAGCTCTCCTGGAGGCCCTTTAGGCACTGGAAGGGGCTCTAAGGTCTCCCTGGAGCCTTCTCTTCTCCAGGCTGAACAGCCCCATCTCCCCCAGCCTGTCTCCATAGCGGAGGTGCTGGCTGTCCCCTCAGGAAGTGTCGGACCCATGGCCCTCGCTGCCGGCCCACGCTCCATCCCTGCTTCCCGTCCTGCCCTGTGCGGTGTCGCAAGAGCCGGCGGCCCCGGCTGGGCTCCCACAAGCCATTCCAAAGAGCTGCCTGGAAGTCATTTGCTGACCACGGCGGCTCCTCGGAGCTGCCCCACGCTGCGAGTGCAATTCCTCATGGTTGGCTTTGTGCAAATGCGGCTGGAGCCTCCGGACACCGCTGCCATCATACACGTTATTAACAACCGTGCTAATGAGTTCCATTAAGCTGGAACGGCTGCCCGAAGCGCCCCAGGACAGCCAGGTCCCACGAGCATATTCCTGGGAGTCTGGGTCTCCAGCCCCAGCGCTGGCAGGTGTCAGCACACAAATCTGCTTCCATTTACCATCTTTTTTTTGTCCTTTACAGAGAAATCTCTGATGAAGGGCTGGAGGCAGCAACATTTTTAGCTGTCCCTTTTCTAGCCAAACCCTCGGAGAACCAAGATTTGCAGGAGGGGAAAAAATGCCATCCCCACAGGAGACTGGTTACAGACAGCAGACTCCCCTGGGCTGCAGGACAGTCCACAACAACCCCAAGAGCTGTTTTTTGTCTGAGTGTGTGCTTTTAACTGGATTGGAAGATGACAGGTTCTCCTTGCCCGACCAAACCAAAGATCAAGGATGTATCTGTGAAACTCAGTCCCCCAGACAGCCCAGCCTCTGCCTGAGTGCCTCAGACAGCTGGGAGGCTTGCAACAGGACTTGGGAATCCATGAACTCGGCTTTCAGCCTCCCATTCTGCACACTGCTGGGCTGGGGACACAGCAGCTGGTAATGGTTTAAATTAGAAGCTTACATTCACTTAACGATGTATTCAGCTTTGATTTACTGCAGGAATTACTGCCTGTTAAATGAATACAAGCTGATTATTAAACAGACACAGATTGCAACCTATCATCTATGCAAGAGATGGGATCTTATTACGATATTAGAACCAGACTGAGCTTTAGCAACTGTCAATTGGTCCCTCACAATGCGCACTGAGCAACTGTCATTGCCACCCCCACTCGGAGACACTTGGCTGGATGCTGTTCCAGTGCTCTTCAGCCACGCCCACACCTCCCAGAGGCAGAGCAGGGGGTGTCCAACAGCGATACTCACCCGAGAGGGTCCAGGTCTCCCCCACCAACAGCAAAGGGGTTCACGGAGGAAGGCCTGAAACACAACACAGCGAGATGTTCAGGGAAGGGCAGAGCAGCTCCCACAGCTGCGAGATGGGGACCTGACATGTAGGTTGGGGAGCTGTGCCAGGACCACATCCCCTCTAACAGAGGGCCCTCAGCAGCCACCCACTCTTTACTCACCAGGATGGGGCCCTTGTGCCCGCTGGCTGCCGGGGAGGGATCCGGAGGGGGTCGTCATCCCGCTGCAAATCCTTTTTGGACTCAGGTTCCTTTTTGGCCTTTTCTGCGGGGGCCCCCAGGGGAGCGAGGATGCCTGAAGCGATCCTCGTCCTCAGCTCCTCGGTGTTCTTGTACACCCTGCAGTGAGGAGAGGGAAGGCTGAGTGCTGGGGAGACCACAGCACCGGGACGTGAGGCGCTGGACAGGCTGCAAGAGGCATGAGGAGGGGACAGACGAGCCCGAAGCATGCCTGGCACAAAACATGTCCCCCACTGGCAGCACAGAGGGGACAGGGAGAGGTAACAGCACACAGGGGCACCAAAGCCCTCAGCCCATTTCAATGGCCAAGGTGTCATCCAGCCCAGGGACTCCCTCCTGCTGTGGCCCCAGCCCAACCAGTTTGCACTGGAGGAAAGCACAGTACATGGCACTCGTCTTTAGCAAGGCCACGGGGTGTCTGGGATGTGGCTGAAGCTGTCACACCCCTGGGCAGTGTCCACCCAGTGCAGTGCTCTGGAAATAAACAATCTGGCCTGGCCCGTTCCCAGGCAGGGTTCCCTCCACTGGGCTCCAACCCATGGTAACACTGTTCCCTAAATCTCTCCTGCCTGACAGCAGCACATAGGGAGGCAGGGAAGGGAGCTCTGGCTGCATTTCAGGGCTGGCCTGGATTTTGTACTGAGGAGGAAAGTCCTCCAGCTCCTCCCAACCTGGTTTCACCCACACTCCCCATGCCAGTGGGACATTTTCTCCTGCAGAAAATACCAGGAAACTAAGATTACTTGTGGAAATCATCCAGGTGCTCTGGGTTGATGTAGTCGGCCACTGCCAAGGTCACATCTGCCACCTTCTGAGAGCCACGATCCTGGAAAAACACAGGTAAAGCACAGAGTGAGCAGCCTGGTAGAGGTGAGAATGAGCAACAGAGCAGGTACAACCACAGCTGGGGGCTTGGGACACAATGGGCCTCACTTGCTTCCTGCCATGTCCCTGTGCTGTGCCTAAATCCCCAGGAGGAAACCCCTGTGTGCAGCAAGGTTTTCCCTGCTCCCTCTCCCAATCTGTGCTGCAAAAGGTGAAACACTGAGCAAAACCACCCTGGGCAGGTGCTTGTTGGGGGCTGCAGAAAAGTCCTGAGCTGGGAAAGGGACAGAATAGCTCCTTGGCTGGAGTGCACAAGGCAAACTGTCCCGCTGCCCTGACACAACCAGGGTTTGACCAGCTTCACGCTGGGCCATACCTTCTGCCACACAAGCACCCCATCCTGAGGGGCAAACACTGCTGCCAGGTAGGACAAGCAAGAGCAAACATTTAAAAAAATAGGCCCTGCTGTTCTTTGCAGCCACTAATCCTGAAGGACCCCAAACCCACGGGGGCCAGAATGGATGCTCACCATGACATTGAGGATCATGCTGTCCTCCACCATGATGGCCTTCAGCAGCAGCTCACGGGCATCATCTGTGGACTGGTAGCGCAGTGTATACACCTCCTTGTTGGCTTCCCAGCCAGCAGGCAGCAGCTCCGACTTCCTTTCATCAGGACCTGGCTGCAAAGGAAGAGAAAGGCTGCCAAAACCCTGCCCAGGAGCCCAGCACCACCTCCCAGGGCGGGGGGAACCTGTCTTGGCTGCAACAGGAGATCCAGAAGCAGACTGAGGTCTCTGGGATGGGATCTCTCAGCCTGGCCCTGCCTGCATCCCTGTGCTGGAACAGGACGGACATGACCACCCTTTGCTGAGCCTCAGGAGCAGGCAACAAAGACCCAGAAGACCCAGAGAGGAGATGGTGCTCTTCTCTGCCAGCCACCTCTCACCTGTGTGACACAGAGCTGTCTGGCTTCGGGGGAAGGCTGTCATCATCTCTGTCCCAGCCCCACAGCAGTGCTGCCAGAGGGCACTGCCCTACACTGTCCCCTCCTCTGGTACTGGGGGGGGGTTCTCTGCCATGACAGTGTCCTGCACCGCCCCACTGCCCCCCAAAACTACAGCAGGCACCTTCCCAATACCTCCAGCTCCATACCAGGCTAGATCCAACCCACTAGATCCCCACCTCAGTATTGCGTCCAGAACTAGCCTGCCCTCCCCCGGTATTGCCCCACTGCCCCCAGCACTGGGACTCCCCAGCAGCACACTTCCTCCCCAGCACCGCACTGGACACCCCCCTTTTGGTACAGGGGTCCCCCTCGGCACCAAGCGCTACATTAATCCCCTTCCCGGAACCACACTGAATTCCACCAGCACCGGGACCTCCCATCCTTCGACACGGCTCTGACCACCCCCAGCACCGGGACCCCCGGAGCCCCCAGAAAAGAGACCCCCCAGAACCGGGACCCCTCCCAGCACGGGGACCCCCGCAGCCCCCAGCACCGCCGCCGCCCGCTCTGGCTCCTACAGCAGCACTGAGGTCCCTCGGACCCTTCGGGTTCCCCCGACACCGCCCGGCTCCCCCCGCCCCGCAGCGGTGGCCGGGCTGGGCGGGGCGGCGCCGGCGAGCGGCGCTAGGAAAGGCCGGGGCTTCACCGCGGCCTCCCCGGGCTCCGCGGACGGGGGAGCGCGGCCCGGCCCGTACCTGGTCGCCGGTGCCCAGGCAGCGGTAGCCGTGTCGGACCAGCTCCCAGTGCACGCCGCAGACCAGCGCGTCCTGCGGGCGGGAGATGGCGGCCCTGGCCCAGGCGTAGAGCGGCTCCAGCCCCGCCATGGCTGCTCCGGGCCGGGGCGGAGCCGCGGCCGCACCGCCCCTCACTAGAGGGCCCTCGTCCGCTGCGCAGGGCCCGGGCAGGCGCCGCGGGGCCGCAGGAGGTGCGCAGGGTCCGTGCCGCTGTGCTCGGCAGTGAGGAGGCCCCTGGAGCCCTGGGAACATTTCTGGGCCCCTCACGACAAGACAGACACTGAGGGGCTGGAGCGTGTCCAGAGGAGGGAACGGAGCTGGGGAAGGGGCTGGAGTACCAGGAGCGGCTGAGGGAGCTGGGGGGGCTCAGCCTGGAGAAAAGGTGGCTCGGGGGAACCTTCGCGCTCTCTACAACTCCCTGACAGGAGAGGGGGGTCGGGGGGGCTGTTGGGCTCTGCTCTCAGGGAACAAGGGGCAGGACAAGAGGAAGCGACCTCAAGTTGCACCAGGGGAGGTATAGGTTGGATATTGGGGAAAATGTCTTCAAAAAAAGGGTTATCCAGCCTTGGCACGGGCTGCCCTGCGCAGCGGTGGAGTCACCATCCCTGGAGGCATTTAAAAGATGTGTAAATGTGGCACATTGGGACATGGCTTAGTGGTGGCCTTGGCAGTACCAGGGGAATGGTTGGACTCAATGATTTTAGAGGGCTTTTCCAACCTAAAGGATTCCATGATTGTATGAGAGGTCTTTGCCCAGCACCATCCAGCAGCCTCCAGGTTAGAGTAATCCTAATCCTCCTTCCCTGCCACTGGGTCTTCCCTGTCAGTCAGAAAAGCATTTTGAGTCCATGCAGGGTCTGCACGTGCTGCTGTAGCGAGCCTTCCCACTGACACCAAAGGGACCAAAGCACCAAACAGCCATTAATGGCTATTTCATCCCTTCCACAACTCCCTTCTCTGGGCCACAGTGTTTATAACACCTAAATTCTATTAAAGTTGCCACTGGAAGGCATTCAGAGGCTTATTCAGAGGCTTATTTGCCCTGCCCTTGGGCCAGAGCCAGCGTCCTCGCTGTGGCTGGCAGGAGGCCGGGGCTTGGGATGAAGCAGGCCCATGCCAGGGAATACCATCATCTGCTGCTTTCCCAATCTGAGCTCCAGCTCCTTGGGGATGCTCATCTTGACTTCATTATGCGTCAATTAATTAACTCGCACTGTTCGCTCTTTCCATTTCCCCCTCAAGAAGTCACTGAGGCTGAACAACCGACCGCAGCCCAGCAGCTCCCATGGGAATCACCACCAGGAGACACCGCGCCTCCTGCCACACTCTGCCACTCCTGTCTTCACGGAAGACAGCTGGACACGTCAGGAAAGCTACTGCGGATTTTCCATGGGGCTGGAATTTCAGCACGGGAGCTCCATGAGGGAGGTATTAGATGGGGATGTGTTGGGAACAGCAGGAAATGCCTCAGCCAGAGCTTCTCCATCGCTGAGATGTGATTCAGAGCAGCAGCAGCATTTCCACCCCACGGCTCAGCTCACTCTTGGTGGGCAGAGGCTGTGGTTGCTGACTTTGACAACATCCACATTTCACTTTCCCACACAGCCTGGCCCTGGGTGGGCGAGGTGGGTACCAGTGGCTCCATTAGAATGTCCCTTCCTGAGGCAGAGCTTGAAATTGTGGGTCTCCCTCCAGAATCCTGTATCCCAGTGCTGCTAACTGGCTTTCTCTCGCCTTCCTTGCAGAGCTGCTCCAGGTGCCGGAACACATGGGTGTTTGGGACTGGTGGCCTCAGGAGCCGTTGGTGCTTTAGTGGGATCACACAGAAGCTCTGCTGAGTGCTTACTAAGCTTTCCCTTTCTCATCCAAATTGCTGCCATTCCTGTTCATCCACTATCTGCTCTTTACCCTCTCGCCCATCATCACGCACTCCCATCCAACCCTGGAGTTGTCCTCCTGTGGCCTCACCTCTGTGTCCATTCTTGGTTACCCACGTTGTGTCAGTAACCCAGACCGCACATGAGAAGCGACTTCTGGTGCCAAGTCCCCCTTGGCCTGAGCAGCCCTTCTGTGGGCAAGGCAGAGGGAAAGCGGGATGCCTCCGTACATCCCCTTGCCACGAGTCTCTCCTGGCAGCCAGACTACCCTGTACCTGAGCCCGTGGACTCAGGGCTGGCTGCCACTACATCAAAGCCGCTGCTCCAGTGCCCACAGTGCCGCGCTGGCCCACATTGCCTGACTCCCCGTTGGCTCCTTCCCCTGCTCCAGTGCCTCGCTCGCTCTGTGGCTTGTTGATGTTGAAAACCCCTGGCCACATGAAAGCAGCCCCCTAATGCGAGTTAGGGGCCTGCGAGCTGCGTGGGAGGTATGGACGGCCCCAGCCCCGGCTGGGATCAGCGGCCAAGTCACTAACGAGGTGACGAGGATTGCAGAGTTGGCGCAGTCGTGCTGCAAGGCGAGTGCGTCACGGCGGCTGCCGAGCACGCCAGTGCCGTCGTCGGAGCAGCCATGTCCTTTTTGTGGCTGCTGGAGCACAGCCGGGAGTGGGAGCGATGCTGTGGGAGCTGAGCAAAGCCCCCGGAGCAGCCCTGACACCTCGCACGTGTTCATGCCCAGCTCTTGCACCAGGGAATCTACCCTTGGCCGTTCTCCTCCCTCTTTTACCCAGGAATACAATCCATGGTGAGTTGCTCCCCGCTGGAACGTGGACAGGGGTGATGTCCCAGGGGAGGTGATGTCTGAAGCTGCTCCGGCAGGGCAGTGGTGCTCAGAGCAGGTAGAAGGATGCATCAGCCGGGGTCACCTCCGTCACACAAACCGCAGCCTCCCCTGACCTTCATACTTTCCCACTGCCTCACAGCTCCCGTTGCATGCTCCCACTGCAGTGTTGTAACGAGCAGAAGAGGAAACAGATTTCCCAACCGCCTGCCCCGCTGGCAGCCCGCGAGCCGTCCGTGCTGGGAATGGCAGCCGGCACAGCCAGGGCAGCTGGCTCACCCCTGTGCCGTGCTGGGTGTGCCGGCTATGACCCAGGGCCTGGTGAAAGGGGCCATGGATAATCCCTGGCTGATGTTCAGGTGTTGAAAGCTGCTGCTTCCCTCAGGGTCAGCTCGCTACTGCTCCTCTCCCATGGATGGGAAAGCCTCCTGGCATCACCTCACCCGAGGTCAGCAGGGCCGGGTGCTGGATGGCACTGTCATGTTTCCTACCAGGATCCCTGTGCTGCTCCATGCAGGCACCACTCTCCCAGCACGCAGTGGGAGGGAAAGATGGGATCCCTTGCTGCAGAACAGGGAGAGCCAGCAGTGCTGGGGCAGCTCCTCCACGCTCTGCTCAACCACCCCCCCCCAGGACTTACTGGTTTGTAAGCAGCCACCTGATTGTGACCGAAACCACTGTGCCAACAGGCGTGGAGTGGGACAGGGGTTCTTGGAATGGGCTTCCTGCCTCGGTCCCATCATTGCCTTGAGAGGGTAGGTAGTCACTCCATGAAAATTTGGCCTCCATTTCCCCTAAATTCAATTCCAGGGAAAGATGACACTGAGGCAGGAGAAAGGGGTTTTTTCTCCGGGGAAGAAATGCAAACCACATGCGGACGAACTCGTTGCAGTGGCAGGAGGAGGGACCGGGGCTGCAAGAGCCGGCGCTCAGCAGCGAGGCCGAGCTAAAGTCAATTAGTGCTTCAGGACTCTGAACACACCCGAGCGCTGTGCTTCGAACAGGCGTGATCCCTGTCAGAGGGAGGCTGCCAGTAGGTTTTGAAAATAATTAGGAAGCCCAGAACCCCAGTGTTTCCCAGAACAGCCTGTTAGTTCTGTGGTGGAAACCTTGCTCGCAGGGAGCACATCACACAAACACAGTTGTGACTCATCAACTGGATGGAGCTGAACTCCATTTTTCGGAGGTCAACGTGCTTGAGTCCCAACGAGCTTTACCCTTGGCAGGGCTCCTGCGCTCCCTTTGCCTGCCTTAATTCCGGGGATGCCCAGCACACCTGAGAATAACGGGGGCCGGTTTCATGGGATGTATTTCATTCAGAGACTCCAACACCTTCCAAGGGGGCAGCAGTGATGGGGAAACTGAGGCACAGCCCCATCCCTGCAGCCTGGGTGGACACTGCCACCCCCTCTGCTCTCGAGGGACCTCTGCTGTGAATCCAAACGGTCCAGGACAGCCTTGGAGGAACAAAACAAGGCAATCAATCACCCTTGCTTCATCCCACTCCAGCCTGCATTGTGCGGAGCCTGAGGGACTCCACATCAAAGCGGGCAGCAGCTGGCTGCCGGGGTGTCCCAGCCCCAGACGGGCAGCGCCCTGCCCACGGGCTGCCTGTCTGCACTGCCCACGCGGGCTCAGCCTCTGCTCCCTGCCCGAGGCCCGGCGGCAAAGCCAGGATGCAGCGCTGCTCCCTGCTCCGGGTACGGAGGGAGATGCCGGAGGTCACAGCGGCTGCAGAGAGCACCGAAGGCGGGGGCGCACGGATGCCGGGACCCCACTGCAGCATCCCAGGCCCGGCAGCACCTCCCCTCCAAAGGGGCGAGGAGGAGGTGGCATCACACACGGCCGAATAGCCAGTCCCATTCCAACTCATTCTTGAGCTGTGGGAAGCCTGCGGAGCACAGCCTGCTCCCGCCGTGCAGCTCCCACTATCCTCACAAGACCCTTTCCTTTGCAGTTCCTTCCATGCCACACAGCGGTCGTTTTCTCCCGGGTTGCAGCCCCAGCACTGCTGCAGGCAGTACATGAATTTTTTGATGTCTTTTGCAGCTCCCCAGCATTTCTCCCCATCCCAGGCACGCACGGCTGGGATGAGGCAGTGTTCTTGCGGAGCGTTGGCTTCACGGATGGTGGTGAATATTCTCTGACAAAACTGGTCTAATGTGCTTCCCAGTGGGGCTGGGGGTGGTGAGGAAATGCAAGGGATCCAGTTTTGGTGGGCTGGGCTGCACCATGGTCAACAGGTTTGACCAGGATTGGCCATCTGGGATGGGGGGTCTGGGCAAGGGAGAGCACCCAGACCCCCCTGGAGCAGTGCCGTATGTGGGTGCAGCAGTGCAACAACAATTTGGGTGCAAACCCCCAAAAATCCCCTATTTTCCCCCTGGCAAAAGGTCAGGGTGGCTCTG